CAGTGCCACACATAGTCTGAGGCTCGGCAGGCTGCAGGCGGCAGACTGGGGCTTTGCCCTGGTGCTGGTTGTGACTCCGCCTGGCTACGGCTCATGTGTCTGACAGAGCTACTCTCAGTATTGGAGTCTCCCCACCTTGCAGAGGGAGGGAGGGAGGCAGATGGACAGGTCCCGAAGCCCAGCACCATCCCTGGGCACTGCAGTCACTCAGCTGTCACCACCCAGCTCCCACAAGGGCCCCACACTTCAAACGATGGCTGTGTTCCCTGCAAGCAGGGTGTGTGCGAGTGTGCACGTGTGATCAAGTGTTCCGGGGAGGACAGTGGTTTGAGGGTAGCAGGCGCATGAGCCCCAGGCAGGGCAGTGGTCCCTCTGGGAGGACACAAGGATGGAGACCTGAGCCACAAGTACAGGCAAGGAAAGGCGAGTGAGGAGACGGGCCCGTGCTGCCTGGGGGGTGAGGCGTCATCAGACCCTCACTTCCTGCCCCATGCAAGTGCTCTGCTGTGTGCATCTGGAAGGGTGGGACACATGCATAGGGACTGACACCAGGCTGAGCTGCCATGTTGTGCTGTCTAAACACACTCCCATGCCAGGGGAGCTGTTTGGAGGTGGCCTTGCTGGCGTTGGTGTGTCACACCCATGTGCTGTCCACTGCAGTGCCAAGGTCCTTAGGGCTTTGGTGTTGTCCTGTGTAATCTATTTAGCCTGCGATTGGAGGTGGTTCTGCTTGTGCACTTCCTGTTTGACTTAAGAACAGATGCTGAGGAAGCCCTGGCTGGGGTCCCTGGGCATTTCCTGAACAATGCTGCTGCCGGCAGGGCGTGTCCAAGAATGTCAGAGGACTCCCTGTTTCCCCGCTGTCAAAGCACTGCCACCTGAATTTAATGACCATGCCTCCTGACAACGGACTTGACAGAGTCCTTGCTGAAGCCCTGACCCCTCGGGTGTCACGACAGGCATTACCATTGCAATCCAAGGGTTCCACATTGTGAAGGCCAGCATCATGTGGGACACCAGAGTGGTGGTTACTGCACACAGAACCCAGATGATGTTCTTCCCCGTTTTGTCCACCAAGAGCCCAAATATTGGGGACATAGGAGCTGATATGACATATACAATACTGCCCAGAAAATATGCGTGACAGTTACTGAAAAGCAAGGCTGCTAGAAATAAATATCAAGCAAGTTCCTGAAAACATTAAGCAAAGCAAGCCCTAACTTAAACATTCTTCTAAATGATAATCAGAAAATAAAATATAAAAAGTAGCCCAAGACTTCATGTTTTCCATTAATACAAACATGGACACTCAAGAGTCAAGTACCGATACTGTAGAGTCCTGGTTTCACCCTGAACACTGGGCTCACACACATCTGTCTTTCTGCCTCTTACAACATTTGTTTATAAAGACTCATGATTCAAACTGCAATAAGAACTTGCAGAATTAAAGAAATACCTGTTAATTAAACTTGCTGCCTGGGAGGAAAATCCAAATTTCTCTATAAAGAAAATTCTAAAAGTAAAAAGAAAAGTGAATACATTAGAAAAAATACTGTTTTTAGAAAATAAATGCCAACTAAAAATGAATAAAAGTAACCTGAGTTAAATAAACTTTTCTTTTTTGATACTGTTTTCCCACCTTATTTGGTATTCAAGCAGTCTACTAAAGTATAATTTATATAAATATTTCACTGACTCAAACATGATGCCCATTCCTCCCTTTTACATAGAAACAGTACCCACAATTTTTCAGAAAACCAAATTTACTACTGCATGGAATTAAGACTGCTTTTTTGGTGAAAGCAGTACCAGAAAGGCTCTTTGCTAAATAATAAATACAATTCTTGTCTCAAATTACAAAAAATGACACCATAAATTTAAAGATTATACACTTACATCCCCACAAATGCACTTGCACTCACATACTACTATTTAAGCCACTGCTAAAGAAAACAGAGAGAGAAGTAGAAGAAAAAGCAAAGAATTTGCATTGAACCCTGAACTTAAGTGTGGCAGAATTGCAGTTCCAGTTTTCAAAGGGAGATGCAACTAGTCACAGTGCGCCAACATGTGGTTTCCATTTGCAGTAAGAAGCCTCCTCACCAAAGAATACAGAGGAAATAAAAAGAATACTAGTCCAGAATCAAAAACTCTTATGAATTATTTCTTCAAAAAATAAAAGTATCAAAGCAATAGTAAAACTTAAGCTAAAAAAATCCACTGTATTCCATAATATAAAATAATTCCTATATAAATATAAACTATAACCAGACAAGAAAGATGCACTGCTTTAAAAAAAAAAAAAACTGTCAAGGGCTGGGGATTTAGCTCAGTGGTTCCAGCGCCTGCCCCTCAAGCACAAGGACCCAAATTCGATCCCTGGTTCTAAAAAAACCCAAAACTTTCATTTATGTGATTGAGCTCTCATCATTTAGTCAAGAAAGTGGAATGCCAGAAAATACTTACTTCCCAAGTCCAATGAAAGGGAACACCACAACGTAATAGCCAACACAGATGATAAATATCAGCCAGAGGGGTAAGGGGAAGTCCTTTATATCCGTTAGTTTAATGAGTTCACCTTAGAGAAGAAAAGGAAGACAATATCAGCATAATTTCACATGTGTAAGGAGCTTCACCTATACTCAAGATTTTCTTTTCTTTTCTTTTCTTTTTTTTTTTTTGGTACCGGGGATTGAACTCAGGTCCTTGCACTTGCAAGGCAGGAGCCCGAACCACTTAGCTAAATCCCCAGCCCAAAAATGATTACTAAAGAGAGACTACTGAATAATAGAAATTTTAATTACCAGGAAGAGGTTTTAATTTAAGGTTATACATAAATAATAAACGGAATGGCAGCGAGTTCTTTTTTTTGCATTCTGTGTATCTCAGACTGGACGTCTAAATGCTGCAGGTATAGAAGAAATAAGGAAATGAGGAAAGGAAGGAAGGAAGGAAGATGAGAGAGGAGGAGGAGGAGGGAGATGGAAGGGTGGGGAGGGAGGAGGACGGCAAACAAAGACGTCACACCTCACGGGAGGAGTGGCGGAGCTGCGCCCGGCCGGCAGGAACCAGGCAGTGCCCTTCTCTGCCAGGCAGGGGCTCTCGGCCTTCTCTGGTCTGCGACGGTGTCTCAGTGTTTTCTGCATTTCATGATCTTGACAGTCTTGAGGCAAACTGGCAAAAGTTTTGGTAGAATGTCCCGCTTACATTTTATAATTTTCAACTTCTCAAAGAATAATATAAGAGCATTTGTAAAAGAGACGGTATTTTATATTTACATTCTCGTTTGTGCTTCTGTCCAGTGATAAAGGAGATATAACTGCAAAGGTTCAAGGCTAAATCAAAATTAAAACAATTCTGTATCTATCACCTAAGGAACCAGAGCGTCTTTCTTTTCATTGCACTATAACAGAGGAACAACTGAATACGGGTAAAGGAAGGGCTGGGGATGGAGCTCAGGGGTACGGCCACCTGCCTCACAAGCGCAAGGTCCCAGAGGGTAATCACCTCTTTGAAATGCAAGGATTTCCATTAATGCAGCTGAAGGGAAAGTTATCATTTATCACAAATTAAAGAAAATGGCTACTGTTAACACTTGTTTCAGGATAAAATTGAAGCAATTTTAGGGAAAAGCTGGAGGCAACACCCACGTCCATTTCCAGCAATTTAAGCTGGCATTCAGTGCACACAATTTTAGTACATTCTAAATAGAAGATAATTTAAATAAAATTGTACTGTAGTGTTATGGCTATTATGGGACATATTTAATAAATGATGCACACTAAACAAAATAAGTGAATACTAAAACAGAAAGGAAGATCAGTTTATATTTGTTTCAAATGATAATGGTTAAATACCTGGGTGTGGTGGTGCACGCCTGTAATCCCAGAACTCTGGGAGGCTGAGACAGGAGGATTGATGTGAGTTCCAGACCAGCCTGGGCTACATAGTGAGTTCCAGGTCAGTCTCAAGTATATAAGTGATTATATTTAGATTCAAATCTACATTATGCTACAGGTACATAATTATTTTTATGGAAATATATCAGTGTAAAAAAATTTTTTGGGGGAGGGATATCAGGGATCAAACTCGGGATCATTCATTCACTTGAGAGGCAGGTGATGGAACCTCTGAGCTAAATGCCTGGCCCATCATGTTAATTATTTAGACAAAAGGAGAATATAGTATCTATTGATATTTTTCTCTATCACATAAATTTATGCAAAAGTGTTATTTAGCTCAGTGGTTCTGCCACCTGCCAGCAGTGTGTGGCGCACGCCTATAATCCTAGCATTTGGGTGGCTGAGGCAGAAGGATCACTGTGAGTTCCAGACCAGCCTGGGCTACACAGTGAGTTCCAGGGCAGTCTGAACTAATAGTGAGAACATGTCTCAAACAACAACAACGACAAAAAAAAAAAACAACAAAAAAAAACTTGCACCTATGGGCCGGTATTTATCCCAGTGGCACCTTGCCTGCCTCACAAACACAGGTCCTGAGTTCCATCCCCAGTTCCCAAAACAAAACAAAAAACCCGAAAAACAAAAAAAATTTACACCTTATGACAACTTCCCAATATATTACATTACTAACATATAAATCTATAGATAAAATGACAATTTTTACTAATACACATCAATTAATTTCACTTACAAAATGAATTAACACATTTCCATCTTATTTCACTGACTAAAGGCACAAAACACAGAATAGCAAATCATCTGTCATAGAATATAGAAAATTAGAGGAGTTATGAGCACAATCACATAATTTTACTTCTAACTTACTCAGAATGACATATTGGATTTTTTTCTCTTAAGCAATAGATGTAAGAGTTCTGATATTTTTATTCTTATAAATTTCTTCCCCAGCCTTTATAGAAATAAATTAATGTGTGAATTTATGAGTATGAAAGCTAGGTTGAATTTTTTAAATGGTGCGATTAAAAGAGCAAAAATTGAATTATTAAACACTTTGTTAAAAAACACACATAACCCGCCTAACATATTTTAAGATCATCGATCATCATTCCAGTCTTCACACTAACAAATGCATTTTTCTAAATGTCAAAAAAGGGTAAAGCAGAGTTGCTTCAAGGATTCTCCAACCTTAAAAGGTTAATCTCAGTGTAGACTACACCTGTTTGTGGGAAAGAGCGGAAACACGGTACTTTAAGAAGTTAAAGAGAAAAGTGAATATAAACTCTTTTGAATGTTAAAAATGTAATATAATGGCCTGTAAATTAGCTCAGTGGTTCCACCACCTGCCTTGCAAGCACAAGGATCCAAGCTCGATCCCCCATACCAAAAAAAAAAAAAAAAAGTATCAAAGAAAAAATAATGTATAAAGAATTATAACAAGAAAATTTGTGTATATTAGCAATTTAAACTTTTTCTTTAAAAATAGACTATTTGATTATTGGCTTTATCAAAATAACTTCTAATTTCTTATATAACAGTACAGTATTAGATTTGATATATTATTTTTAAGACTTCAACCTAGTTGGCTATAGAACAGCATAAAATCTTATAGAAACTATTTAACCCTCTATTAACATCACGTTAGAATAATTTTTTGTTTGTTTGGTTTGCTTTTTCTGGGGCTTTTTTGTTTGTTTTTGTAGTGGTTTGCTTTTTTCTGAAATAAGGCCTCTGCATGTAGCCCAAGCTGACTTTGAAATTGTGTTCCTTCTGCCTTCTGGAGAGTGAGGGTGGTGAGTGTGTGCCGCACACACAGCTCGTACCATCTAACACAGGTTGTTGAAAACTGTATCATTTTTAAGATTTTATGTATTTACTTTCTCATAACTACAGATGATAGAACCAGCTCTATAATTAATCTTTATAAATGTACAAGAATTGTTAAATTGAGCTAACACAAAAGTAATCTGGAAAGCAAAATCAGGATATGACTTTCATTGAAAATCAAAGTTTTATTCCTAAAGTAGAAAGACTACAAAGCTAGAACTTCCAACAACATTCAGATAACAGAAGAAAGTTGCAAAGTACAGTACTGATTTAACAACAAGAGATTTTATGTATATAACACCCAGCACCATTACTTTCTCTGTTAAAACAACCCAGACTTAACAAATCAAAAGCATGGCTATTTATTTTTTGTTGATTTTCACATGTGATCCTTTGACGTTGAGTTTGTCCACACAAATGTCGGATCTTTTGGCTGGACTCTGGCGACATTTCTCCCTGAGAGATACATATAAGATCATTAATAGCTTTTGTGCTCCTGCTGGGGAGGTTACTGGGGATTGAACCCATGGCCTTTCCACTGAGCCCTTTAAAAAATTACAGGGATTTGGCTCAGTGGCAGTGCACTTGCTTTACAAGTGCAAGTTCTTGAGTTCAATCCCCAGTACTAGAAAAAAAAGTATTCTTTTATTTGGAAACATGTCCTTTCTAAATTGCTAAGTTGCCTAAGCTAGGCTTGAACTTGTGATCTTCCTGCTTCTGCCTAAAAGTGTGCTCAGTTTATAGGGAAGCATCACTGCACCAGCATTGCTGTTACTTTTTAAATGGTGATTGGTTTAGAAGTCACTACAAACCAAACATGCTAACAACTACAACTTAAGAGGAGCTTTATCTTAAAAGTAAGTGGGCTGGGAATTTAGCTCAGCGGTTCTGCTGCCTGCCTTGCAAGCACAAGCCCTTGTACCAAAAAAACAAAAACAACAAAATTACAAACGATAATCCCTGGTACCAAAAAAAAAAAAAAGAACCTTAATATCTTTGGAAAATATGATGCAGACTATTTCACTGAACATTCAAGAATGCAACAGCTGTTTTATAGGTTTACAGTTGAAAACTTGCTGTGCAATATGATAGCCACTGGCTACATTTATATTAAATTAATTATAACAGAAACAGGGATTATGGTGAGCTAGAGGCAGCAGTGCTCATCAGATGCTCAGAAGACTCTCACCAAGGTCCACAGAAGCCCATCAGATGAAATCCAGTAGCAGGGCTGTTTAGAATAAGAAGCAAGGCTGCTTATCCATTACTGCACTGGTTATAGCCCATGTCCAAGGAACAAACTATCATGGAAAGTTTCAGTCCCCCTCCCCTCACCAAGAAGGCAGGTATAGCAGTGTCTGTCAGCCCCGCAGCCAGTGCCCAGAGCAAGCCTGTCCCAACTCTCCTCCCCCTGGGAGGTGGCCTCCTCAGACCGAGGGATGAAGGAAAGTGTAAGTCAGAGAATCACTAAGGGCAGTGACTGAGTTAGGACTAGGGAGCCCAACAGAGGCCAAGGGACAGAGAGGACAAAGGGCAACGCTCTGGTTGGGGATCTGGAACCCTGGAGGGATCTGTGCGACAGAACCACAAGGACTCGCACTGTCCATGACCTGTCCGTGACCGTGAGACCAGGGGGAGAAGAGAGTGTAACAGCGGGGGGGCAGGCCCTCTCCCACTGCCCCCCAAATGCCACCAAGCTCTGAGCCTGGGTGAGCTCTCTCCTGCCACCCCAAATTCCATGCAGAAAGACACACTCAGCCCTGTACAACTCTGAATCCGTAGGCCCAAGACTCTGAGGCTACAAAAACAACAAGAAATTAGGAAAGGTTGGTTCAAGAGCTCCTAGATGAGTAAAACAACTAACCTAAGAATCATAGGAATAAAGGCAAAGCTAAGCAATGAAACTAAAGGTATAAAAGTTATTGGCCAAAATCCTTGCAGAAAATTTTCCAAATCTAGAAACTGAAATGGATAACCAGGATAAGTGTTTGAAACTCCAAAGAGGCATGATCCGAAAAGAAGCCTTCCACAAGAAAGACATTACAATCAAAATCCCAGAAATCCAGAACAAAGAATACTAAAATCCATTCCCAAAAAGTGTCAATTAACTTACAAAGGCAAGCCTGCCAGATTTCTCAACACAACCTTAAAGGCTAGGACAGCAGTTTTTCAAGCCTTTAAGAGAAAGACTGCTGGGCTTGAGATTTAGCTCCGTGGTTTCACTGGCTGCCTTGCAAACGCCAGGACCTGAGTTCGATCCCCAGTACAAAAAAATATATAAATAATTAAAATAAAAATAAAGTCTGCCAATTTAAAAAATATATAAATAAATAAAATAAAAATAAAGTCTGCCAATTTAGATTAGTATAGCCTCTAAAGTTATCCTAAAAGATTGATGGAGAAATAAAAACTCTCCATAACAAAAAGAACATAAAGAAATGCAGCCCATGGACAGAACACACCACTAAGGTGAAAGCCACATTTGCTCCCACGCCAGTTCCCCACCTGTGGATTCCACACCTTGGCTGTGGACACCCAGCAACTCCAAGCCTGCTGTGTGTTTTGTTTCTTCTTGGCACAGGGCAGTAGAGGCACCAACCAATGGACTTGGTCTGATGAAGGATGAGGCCAGGGTCCAGGGAGATAAAGAGAGCTGGAGAGTCAGCAGGTCCAGGAAGAAATAAGGAGAATCTAGGAGAAATGGATGAATTTCTAGACACATGACTTAGCAAAGTTGGACTAAGAAGATATAAAAGCCCTGAGTAGTCTGATAATAGGCAATGAAATTGAGGCAGTATTAAAAGTATAGTTCCTAGGAAAAGCCCAGGTCCTGATGTCTTCATTGCTGAAATTTGCCAGAACTTCAGAGAAAAACGAATGTGCCC